CAATTCACCACCCGACTTCACTCAGAGATTCTGGAACCATCAACAAAATGTCACTTTTAAATACTTTTCATCTGGGAGGCAGCTGTGTGGAACAGATGTCAGCTGGGTCGGGGTGCTGGCAGCCAGGGTGGAAGAGGACGTCAAGATGGGGTTCGCTTGGGCTGAATTACAACAGCAGTGATAGGAAGAGTCCACACGCGGTCAAGGCTGTGAGGGCAAACCACGCAAGTTTTTTCTTTTCCATTTTCCTTATTTCCCCAGGGACCCCTCCCAAACTGCACAGTCTCCAAGCTTGCCACCCTTTTACCTGCCAGTGCTTTCTGAGGACCACACACTGCAAAATCATCCCTTTTTGCCTGATCAAAACGGGCACCACCACACTTCGTTGTGCCCTGGCAACTCCGTACAATTCCACTTACTGAGGGTTTAAGAGCTGGTTCTTTCAGAGGCAACATTGATGGGTAGTCTTGTATTATACAGGGTTTCTCAGACTGGGCACCCCTGCCGTTTAGGGCTGGATAACTCTCTGTAGTCTGTGCACTGTAGGATGTTGAGCAACATCTCTGGCTTCTACCCACTGATGATATCCTCCCACAGTAATATACTCCCATCCAGGTTGTGACATCAAAGATGTTTCTAGACATGGACAAATGTCCCTTGGGGGCGAAATCGCTCCCAGTTGAGAACCACTGGTGTCACGAGTAAGAGCCAGCCTCTAGAGTCAGCCCCCTGAGTTCAAACCTCCTCTTCCACTCACCAGCAGCTTGGCTGTGAGCAAGGTACTTCACCACCCTTGTCTGTTTCTGCTCTTGTAAAAGTACGAGGGTGATGGTGCCCACCCCGTGGGGCTACACGAAGATCCATGAGGTTGTGTAAGGAAAGCACTCAGGCTGGGGCCGGCACAGCCCAAATGACGCACTGCTGGCTGACGACATTCTGTGCTCTGCACTGGAGATGTTGACAGCCGGGATCTGTACTCAAGCCACCTGCGCAGTGAAGAATTAACCTTACCCAAGGACAGGGCTGGCTCGGCCCCGGGCTCCTGGTAAGTCATCTCTAGGCCCCTGGAAGGCCCTGCCTGACAGGAGTGTCTTTGTCTGCCTGGGGTTTTGGCCAGCTGACAGTCTAAATGAGATTTACAACAGGTGCTTAGGGTCAAGAAGTATCAGTTCTGTCTCCAGAAAGCTGGAGACTAAAGGCCAGCCGTGCAGGCAGTACGTGATGGAGCCCCAGTGCAAAGTGCACACAGAGGGCTGGGCTGCGCTTCCCCGGTAGGCAGTACTCCATGCAGAGAGCCACATATCGCTGCCGAGACGGCAGCGCTGCCCATGACTCCAGAGGGAGAGGACAACGGAGGCTCCACATTTGCTAGTTTCCCCAGACACTTCCCTAGGCTGATGTTAATCTGCAGTCTTTCCCTGTAATAAACCATAGCTATGAGTCTAACAGCTTTCAAAGAGTTCTGTGAGTCCTTCAAGTAAGCCATCAAACCCCAAGGGGGTCTTCAGAACCCCAAACTTGCCACTGGTGTCAGCAGTGAGGGTGGTCTTGTGTGAACTGTTCCCTCCGCCTGTGCTGTAGGCTCACCCGGCATGTTCTTACGACAGTACTGTCACTGTAGCTGGCTTCTCGTGGGAAGCATTCCCAGAGCACACCTCCTTATGCACGGTGAACCTACAGTAACACTTCTGGAAGGTTCGTGCTCATTGAGGGGCCTACATCTATGATGCTGATATTAAAAGATGCCAGACTTTTGGTTAATAAGACAGAACACTTGCATTTTAAATCCCCATGCCTGTTGAATGGGGCAGGGGTAGCCAGGAGTGTTGGGCAGGATTTCAAACTCCAGTGGAAGAATGAGGCCGAGTGGCCCTCTTCTGGCAAGGCCCACAGCGTGAGGCAGATGAGGGGCCCAAGCCCCCAATCTAGGAAGAGTGGCCAAAAACCGCTGCCACCACTGAGCCTGCCTGTGGCCTTTTCCGAGCATCAAGCAGACACAGCCACACTCCCAGAAAGGTGTCCAGGCCACAAGCTGGGCCGGCCACCCATCAGCAATGTCAACAGGGCTGATGCTCCACACAGGAGCTAGTTCTGCCCCGGGCCCTTGTAGCGTGTGGAAGGTAACCCTCACACAGGTGGGGTTACGTGTTGGGGCAGAGAGGAAAAAATCCCAAATCAACCCTGAGGAAATGGAAGCGAAACGACTATGAAATAAGAATGTTTAAGATGCTTAAGGAGATTTTTAAAAGCAGGTGGAAGCAGCAATAAAACAACCAAAAGATAGTTAAAAACAGAACAAGTGGATACACAAAAAAATCTAACAACAACATATCTGGAGATGAACAAACACAGTCATCCATTAACGAAAACACTGAATGAGTAGCTTTGGGGCCCACTCTTGGCAGAGGACACTTGCACATGCAAAGACACAGTGGTGGAGAGACAGTCACAGCCCTGCCCAGGAGGAGCTGATATCCTTGCAGGGGAGACCATCAATCAACAGAGAGGGATGTGTAATATGATCTGAGGTGCTATGATCATCGTAAGTGCTAGGGGAAGACTAAAGCAGGGTGAGGGCTGTCGCCCAACAGGGGGCATCTGGAGGTCCAGGAAGGCTGCTCTTTGAAGGGGGTCAGGGAGGTTCATGAAGGTAACCCAAGAGCCATGCAATTACAGGGAGCAAGAGCGTTCCAGACAGTGGGAGGTCTTTACCCTGATTAATCGGTTCTTTTAAAATAATAATAATAAAGCAAATATTATATTACTGGTGAAACTAGAGATGTTCCATTTAAGCTGGAACTTTACACTCTATTATTCACTTCCGCATTAGAAGTCTTGGCTAATGTAATTAGACAATACAATAATACATAAGAGAAGAGTGAATTAAGGATTTGAAATGGAGAAACACTTTTTTAATTATCTGGAAATGATAATACTGTTTATATAAATCAACTGAGACCCTACCAGGAGTTCACTAAGATTACTGGATACAGATCAACATAAAAAACAATAATATTCTTATGCATCAACATTAAACAAATAGAAAAGGCAATTAGGAAAAAAGTCCCTTCTATACAACAACAAAAAACTTTAGGTACCTAACAACAAGTCTAAGGAAAATTGTTACCGATTTTAGGAAGAAAAAAAGTCTTTAAAAGACATAAAAGAAAACCAGAATTACTGGACAGACATGCCACGTAATTCTATGGAAACAAAACATTAAGACAGCAAATCTCTGGATGCTTTTTATAATATCCTTTTATTATTTCCTAGATGTTTAATACCTTTCAAAGTGAAAATTAAGAAATTCTATATAATTTGAATCCAGATCACAACTGGAGTTTTCACTGCACGTGACAAACTGATGCTGCAATTCGTATGGAAAAGTGAGCCAAGAAAATTCAGAACAAAAGGAAACCTGAAGAGCAAGGAGGGCCCACTTGCCCTTCCAGATAGTAAGGCTTCTTCCAAAGCTATGACACTGAAACAAGGGGGCACTGGTGCAAGGAGATGAGAAACCCCTAGGTCCACACCATAGGCCAACAAGCGATGCTCTTAACTAGTCTCCCGTGTCTGCTCCATGTGTGCCGTGAAGGCAGGAGGGATGAGGACCACGTGCACCAGTAAAGGCTTCTGGGTGAGGCTGCAGCTCAGTGAGGTGAAGAAGAGAGGTGGGAGTGGAGGCAGAGAAGGAGCTGAACATGGGGGCAGGGGCCCAATTCTCCAAGGGGCTTGAACGGGAGAGTGATGAGGAGAAGGACTGGGGAGCTTCCCTGACCACTGGAGCCTCTTCAGGGAGCTGCAAGAGAAGAAAGGTGGCACCACCACTTCTTCTGTCCACTGTGACAGTGTCCTTAAGAGCCAGAGACACCAACCTAAGTTCACCTAGTCCAGTCCTCTCCCTGTGCAGAAGAAACTGACGCCCAAAGGCGATGATGACTTGGCCAAGGTCATGAGTGACTTATTGACAGAACCCACTGGAAACCTCATCTTTGGGCTCATCCAGGGCTCTCTCCAGCTAAGGCACACCAGGAATGCTGTGTACCTTGTCCCTGGTACTGGAACCCTTTTGTGGGTTCCTGTCTTGAATCTCTCTTCTCCCTTGGCCTCCAGAGCAATTCTCCCTCACTAGTCCTCATCTTCTCCCAATGGCTTCTTCTCTATCCATTCTTGGCTGCTGTTCCTCTCCTATCCCCAGCTCTTGAGCTCCCACCAACCCTGTGATGGCCCTCTCAGTGCTCAATTCACTCTCCCTGGATGGCTTAGAGAACTCCACAGCTTTGATCAAGAGCTTGAGGTTAGTCACTTGTATATCCATATCTGCAGCCCAGACCTGCACCCTGGACAGCACCCTTTAATCCAGCAGTCAACGGGGCACACGCATGAGGCAGTGGCACCAGGGGAAAAGCCTACTCCTAAGACTACAGTCACCTAAAGATCTGACATCCTCCAGATGTCACCATTTTCTAAGCCAAGAGCCTCCCCAGGCTCAACTTGAAGAACTGTGGGTTTTCCAACAGGTGTAGGAAGCAATTCTATGGATATGATGTAATTACGTTGATACAGAGTCAGTATCACAGAAGTCTGTGTATAAGGAGGAAGACGAGTAACTGAGAAAGAGTTCAAAGGCAGTGACCAGTCTTTGAGAGTTAGATGCACAAGGTAAGATCCCAGATCCCAGAGGGATTCTGGAATGATAGGAAACCAGGAGAAGAATGGAGCTACAAAACTGTGGTGGCGAGGCATAAACCCAGACTTAGCCATCAAAAACTAGTGACAGGGTGAGACCCAGGCAAGCACCCAGCTACCAGTAGGTCTGATGAGTTAAAATGGGCATTGAGTGACTTCACCTATGGGGACACCGCCAAGACAGCTATTTCAGAAGACTTTCTTCTCAGCTACAGGTCTGCTGTTTACAGCTTAGAGCCAAGTTTTCAGAAGTAAGTATGTCACAAATCAAAGGACATAAAGAAAACCCAAGAAACATTTTAAAGTCTTACCTGATCCCAGGCAGAGACGGTACCTCCAAAACACATGAACAAGTACCCCATGGCCACGAGACACATCCATATCACCAATGAGAAGACGCGGAGCAGCTTCTTAAACACAGACTCGATGCAGACCAGGATGAATATCGCAAAGAAGATCGCCAGGGCAGTGGGAACTGTTATTAAAAACGCCACGTGGTCTTCAACTTCCTAAGGAGACAGAAAACATATTGCAAAGGTACAGTTCAGAAACAGTGCCATACTGATGATTTATGTGATCAAGATGCTATCAGCATTAATCCATGTCAAAATATATCAAGTTTTAAAAATTATTTTAGAAGTAGAACAGTTTGAACTTCTGAAAATTTCAGTTTCCTATTAAATAATCCTGTTTTTCTACACGAATAACCCAGTATTGGATATTTAAGTTATGCAAAATAGCTATAAAATTAAATTTAAATTTTCCCTGATACATGGAGAAATGAGTTTTATTCAAAAGTGAAGGCAAGAGCACATGATATCAGGATAAAATAAGATAGTCACGTGCACTGCCTGAATCAGAGGATCAGAGATGCCCCGGCCTTCAAAAGCAAGGCTTCAAGATGGATTTGAAATGTTTTATTTTAAAAAATCTAAAAACTATCTCAGTCGCTAAAGTGATGAGCTTTTATTTTAATGATGGCAATTAATGTTTTAACGGGAGCACAGGTTAACAGAAAAGGGTCAGAAGCACTAAATATAGATGATGAAGAGAGTGGGAAAGACTTAGAAGAATGCACCATTTTTCTAGTTTCCTTCCCCACGTCTCCCAGGCTCCAGTAGCACACAGAAAATGGGCATGTATTATTAGCCTCTTACCAACACATTTTTTAAAGAAAATCCACCTTTGCACACTAACGCTCATTTTCGATTTCTTTCTAGCCACACACACAAAAGGCACACTATTTCAATTCCACCTGATTTCAGCACAATGTGAGAGACCTCATGGTCCCTTTGGTTACAGTACAAGCTTGGATTTAGGCTTTAGCTTCTGCAAAACCTGATGCTGGAACCTTGCTCTGAACGGCATTCACCAGGGGCAGGAACACAGTTCAAGTCTTTAATCCTCACCCAAACATGCTTAGTTACTGAAACACCCAAAGGAGTTTCAATCAAAGAACCCATATGGCTGGGACCCTAAGAACTTCCACTGAGGTTTTGGAATAGTAAAGGTTACTGTAAAATCTGGGACTTATGGGGCGGCTCTCTCACATACTAGAAGCTGGTGAACCCTTCACCTTTTCTGGTTGGTGCAGGGTTCACTCCGTCCCATCAGCAGCTCTACCTTTACATGCAGACAAGCCCATCCAGAGATCCAACCACCAACCACAGGGAGATGGGGAAGCCAGCAACACAGTCAAGTAACCACTCTGAGTCCAGAGTAACATGGAGGGGACAGAAAGGGACCCAACTCACTACATTTCCCTTTCTCTCGCAGACAGATGTGGGTGCTAAACAATACCTGGGAAAGAGGCAACAACAACAACAACCATAGCAAATACTGCTATACATATTTTTGTAACCTAAGCACTCGTACCTACATTCACCTCTTTAATACCGACCCCAATCCTGTGAGGGGAGCACTGGTGCTGGCACTATTCCACAGGAGAGAAAAACCGAGGCACCAACGATGAGAATAAGCTGGCCTGGCTGTCGAGCTGAAGAGGGACAGAGCCAGGGATCTGAGGTCTGTTCTGGCCACCACTGTGTGCTCCGCCCTCTGGTTGTGCAGCAGGTGGCGAGCTAGACCAAAGGCCAACCCTTGAGTGGCCAAAAGAACGTATGTCTCCAGAACTGTAAGAAGACAGGAGGGTCAAGTGCAACGGTCTTATTCTCTCCCGCCACTGCTATTTTTGTCCACAATTAAGTGCCTACGTTGTACTTTTACTCAGACACATTTCACAATCATTGCAAAAGGGTATCAGGTGTACTCCAGGCTGCGCGCACTCTCCAGCACTCAGACCCCACAAATAAATGGACACGTGGACACAGCAGCATGTCTTCTGAGGACGTCACATTTGAGAACGATAGCCATGCACATGGAGCCATGAAAACTGATTTTATTTTAAACCCCCCAAAATGAACTTAACTGAGCTGTGGACAGAAAGCTAACTAGGAAACAACCAGGACAGCGGTTTCGTAGCGTGTCTTTTCACTTATTTCATTAACCCAGCAGGGGAGAAACAATCATTGACTTCATTGGCTCCGATTTCTCCAGAAAGACTGAGAATGGTGTGAAAATATGCATGACTGTACAGTGAGAATTAGTAACCAGAGGAACAGAAAGATCTAGATGGAGTCCTTCCAGGAAGTGGAAGACCCCCTGAATTAGCGGTTGGGGCTTTTCCTGCACTCGTCTTTTTAAAGATCTTACTGTAAACAAAACAAAGACCCAATGTCTTATGGCGCTGGGTCCAGTATATACTAAGACTTGATATTGTTTTGGGTTTGAAATATTGAACTCTATCGCACTTTATTTTCTTTTATAATATCAGGGTCTTCATCACTGAGAAGTGACTTATCTGGGCTGGAGGGTAACTTCACATTAGGCATAGTAGACACAGTGCCTGGGTCCCACACTATTGTTAGGAACCCACGAAAGTGTTGTAATTTCTGTTAAAATCAGGAAAAAAACCAAGCTTTTAAGGTCAAAAGCGACATACGTCTTCATGCTAAACCAGGGGTAAACTATCATTGGGAACATAGTTCTTGGGAGGAAGGGGCATAGAAAGGCGATCCTAGGGGGTTGGTGGGATACCCCTGCTCACCAGATGTGCGACACCATCTCATCCACCCTGCACACCAGAGGAAGAGCTTCAGCTTCGAATAGCATTCCCCAGCCTCGGTGGGTGAGGCAGATTCCCAGATGGCCAAGGGCTTTGGATGGCCGGCCACTGTTCCCGAGGCGTGTGGCCCTAACCATTGCAAAACCTGAGCCCACTGAAGGATCGGGGCTCTTCTGGAAAAAGAACAGCAACCAATTTATTCTTCATTTGCCTTTTAAACTCTAACTCCAAACAAGTTTTAATATAGACTTCTCCACAAAATAGAATCTTTTGTAAGTATGTCAAGGAAAAAACAGTGGAGTATTCATGAAAGAAAGTATAAGCTTATAAAGGACATTCTTTCCTCATCTCGCTGTTTGCATCACACGTTTTTCTTAAGGCTAAGTCAATGTAATAAAGGAATGCCCTCGGATCTTGAATTACACGGTTCTCCGCCCTCCCCATCCCGTTCCCAGTGGATGGGAAGAGGAATGAATGAATGGAGCCACAAAGGCACACCCCGTGGCTGTTTTCTTTGGAGCTAATTGAGTTTTCAAAATTCAGAATATAAAACAAAGAGAGTAGCCTAAAATAAAGCAAACTGAAAAATTAACAACATTGTCAATCTAAATTAAATATGTTTCTGTATCCCAGCCCCTGCTCCCTCCATGGAAAAAAGTTACCATATACTGCAAACTAAACGAAATGTATGCAAGTGCCTTTAAAAGGGGGATCTTGGGCATGGTTTATCGACTGTAATGATAATGGTTCCTATCACTCTCTTCAAACATTTTATTCTTTTGTTTTTAATGCATTTTCTGGTAATTTTGGATGGCTTCTAATTGCTAGGCCCATTAAATACCCATTGCTTTTTATTTATTATGTGACAACTCCTTTGTTTCTTAGAGGCTTTTCCAGGGGGCAACAGATTATCTGTATTTTCATCCTTTTTCACGAGCACGTTCCATTTTTTGTTAAGCAGTACTATTTTTCATGTAGATGGTAAAGGACAGTCCAATGTAAAATACTACTTTTCTATAAAAAATATATTTTAGTGAAGTGCTTTACAGTCAAAGAGACTGAAGGTAGAACCATGTTCATCACTCACTGCTGTGCAACTCAGGGTGAGCATTGGGTCTCCCTGAGCTTGTTTCTTCACGCCAACAGCCATACAGACGCTGCACGGCTGGTGAGTGTTCAGTATATGACAAGTGCACCATAGATGACAGCAATTAGGATCATGATGACCATTCCCTTTTTCCTTCAGATCTCAGTATTTTCTCACCAAGGCTAGTGTGATTATTCACTATTGGAATGATGCCTATTTTGCATTCTAAATAATTATGTACTTTATTACCAAAAATTACTTTGGAGGACTGTCATTGGACAAAAACAAGTCAGCCTTTAGCTATGACATACAAACTGCAAAATGAAGACACTTGAGATAAAAGATTTAAAGACAGATGAGTTGCGGATTATCCACTTCCAATGAAAACCATGGATCTACAACTCCAGAAAGCCAGTTAGACAAGCATATATACGGTATGATGGTAAAAACGCAAACTGTTAGAGATAAAAAGAAGATCCTTAGAGTGGCCAAAGAGAGAGGAAGGATCACCCACAAAGATCAACAGCACAAGGGCAGAAATGTCAACAGTGCAAGACAGTAAGGACAAATTACTGAACAAAAGTAACAATCCATCTCATTCAGCCAAGAAACCAGTTTGGTTGTCTTTTTTTTGAGAGCAAAAACACAAGGATTTACAGATAAATCATTTTTAGCAGGAATTTAGCATCAAGAAACTCTCTGTAAAAGAACTTCTACAAAATTAATCCTAAAAAGACTGTACAATACAAAAGGAGGTGAGCAGACATACTGGCACACACAGTGCTACAACAAAATACACATCGTCCATCTGAAACAACAACAATGAATGTCTAACTGCTGGGTTTAAAAAGATAGAATTGAAATACTTAATAGTAAGACTAATAAAGCTAGGAGAAGAAAAACTAGAGATAAAGTGTTCCAAAGTCATTTATTTTTTTATTTTTATTTTTATTTATTCATTTATTTTTTTGAGGAAGATCAGCCCTGAGCTAACTATTGCCAATCCTCCTCTTTTTGCTGAGGAAGACTGGCCCTGACCTAACATCCATGCCCATCTTCCTCGACTTTATATATGGGACGCCTACCACAGCATGGCTTTTGCCAAGCGGTGCCACGTCGACACCCGGGATCTGAACCAATGAACCCTGGGCCGCCGAAGCGGAACGTGCACACTTAACTGCTGTGCCACCAGGCCGGCCCCCTCCAAAGTCATTTAATGATCTAAGTGTCAAGACTGACCAACTTGAAATCTTTATTATGGTACAATTTCAAAGGTGATCATTAAAAGAATACAAATA